CAGTGGGCTCTGCTGCTGCATTGTGGTATTGTACCAAACACATGTGCTGTGTGACCAGCAGCCACACATCTGAATTATTTGCACATCCTAAATCAATTTAGATGCTTGCAGTAAATGAAAACATATATTTCAATCTCTTCTTAAGCCAAGTAATCCTGTTTAGAAATAAATTATGCACTGCGTGGTGTGAATATCTTACTATTTAAACGTCTAGGGTGGATGTCTGTCGTAAAATCATGGTAATGATCCATTGACCTGATCCAAGCTCAGCCAAATACCATGACATTATTCCTTCCCCCAAGTCATTTTATGGAAAATGCTAATGAAATATAAGAACATGGGAACATAGAACTAAAAGGGGCCTCCTGGGCCACTCAGTCCAGTTCACAAGCAATTGTTAACCAGAGAAATCTTCAAAATTGATCATTCAAACCCTCACTCATAACTATATTACCTGAAACACCCAAGAAGAACCTACAGTATGCTGCAGGTAAAGCAGGGGAGAAAAGGGCACTGGCAGTGCCCTGCCACTGCAATGATAGGGACATAATTCAGGGGTGCTCAACCTCTGGCCTGTGGGCCAAATGCAGCTTGAGGAGCAATCGCATCTGGTGTGCAGGGTTCCCCTGGGACCTGGAGATTTGGCAGCATGGGAGCAATAGCCATTAATACAGACACCCCTCACCTGAGAAATCCTCAAACCCAGATGCCTGCATGGCTAGTTGGAGCCAAGTTACACCCCTTACCCTATGGGGCAGGACCACACCCCCCCCCCACTTCTGTATTGGAGCTGGGCCATACCCCCTCCCCTCCCCACTAGACTGAGTTGGGGCTTGGCTATGTCCCCTTCTCCCCTGCAGGGCAAGGTTGTATTGGGTAATGCCCCCTTCTCTCCCCACAGGGGCAGGTTGGACTGGGCCATTCCCCCTTTCCCTGCAGGGCCAGGCCACATCCCCTTCCCTCCCACTGGGGCTGTGTTGGGGCCTGGCCATGCCCCTTCACCCTTCCCCCAGGGCACTGGACCATGCCCCCTTCCCTCTCTGTGAAGCTGGGGTAGGGCCTGGCCACATCTCTTCCTTCTCCTTTGTGCTGGGTCAAGCTCCTTTCCCTGCAGGGTTGAGCTGGGGACAGCCTGCCCCCTGTATAGCCAGATGGTGGCTGCCATGCCTTCCTGGGTTCTGGATCAGGAACACTGACTGGGGACTGCCAATATGGCCTACTGGGAAAAAGGTTGGGGACCACTGACCTAGTTGGTTAATAAACACTCAAAAGATTATAGGACAAGGACTACTCAGCACTATAGAGGAAGACAATAACTCCCACCAGTCTGACCTAGGGAAAAAAATATTTTCTGACCCCAAATTTGGTAATTGATGTGACTCTGGGGAGAAGAATATGTCCCTTCAACTAGATACTCTTGGGTTTTCTGAAGCAGCAGAAGCAGCAGTACATCTCAATAAAAATGTCCTTTCCTGTGTCCAATGTTCCCATGTCTTAGAGGAAAATTTGAATCCTGTCTTCAGATACCAGTAGCATTCATGATTCAGATACCAGTAGCATTCAGGCCTCCTCATCCCAGGAGGGTACAGTTTCAGGTCATGTCCAGGACCACTGAGGGCTCCTCTATCCCCAAAGCCTCACCCTTACCTCCAAGTTGTTCCTGGGGCAGGAGCTTAGGAGGGAGATGTTTCTCCCCTGCTGACTGGTCACAAACTGCCTCCCCTAAGCCGAGAGAGCTGGGCATTAAATGGCCGCCCTAGTCAGGCACCTGCCCTCTCCCTGGCCTAGCCCTTAAATTAACAGGCACCAAAGGTGCTCTGTCACAGAGGGAAATTATTAACTTCTCAGGCTATGATAAGCCTTATGCTTGGAGTTTATTTTTTGCATCACCTCCATCCATCACACCCTGCCCCTCCAACCCCTGTGATCCATGGCAGCTGCTAGATGGCAGGCCACTGCATGCTGGTCCCTGGGGGAGGGAGAAGGAGGCAGCTCATCCCGCTGTCCTGTACTGCCACCCGGCTCTCCTCCCTGCTCTACCCCAGATAGTGTGGGGGTTGCCGGGTGGTGGTTGGAGTAGAGGGCTTGGGGTCCCCACCAGGTTGGGGGTGGGCAGCTGTCCTGGGCATGGGGATCCCCAGGATCTTAAGGAATCTTAAGGATCCAAGGAATCTTAATCTGCATCTACACAACACCACCTCAATCCTGTTGCCAATCCAGAAACACAACGAATAGTGCAGGCAGATGCTGCATGCCATACCCACTCCCCAGGATATGCAGCATCTTGAGTGATATATAGCTAATGTTAGAAATATCCCACCAATTAAGGGGGAGGTGAAGAGAGTGGTGTTGGGACTGTAGACCAAAATTTGTCCCCTTCTCTCTTCCCCTGCAGGAGACTTTTGAGATCAGAAATTGGAAAGAATGAATAAATGAAAGAATGAATGCATAAGAAGAGTACAAGGAATAGAAGAACTGAGTAAATAATAAGAAAGTAGTGTGAGCTACAAAGGACCAACTCACGGGATCATAATACATTCTAGTTCATTGGATGGGATGTGAAGTTACCAATAAAATCATAAATGCAAACTTTGAGTTATGGGTTGTACTGGTCACCTTAGCGCGTGCGCGCGTGCACACACACACACACACACACACACACACACACACACACACACACACACACACACATGCACTTACTCATTCAAACCCATGTCATTCTAACCCATGTAGTATAGTGTATAGTAGCTGATGTAGTGATTGTGAGATCACTGGTGTCAGTATATCTACCTATTCGAGGCCCTGGAGTCTGCTGTTGATGGTCAGTTTCCTTCAAGGCAATGTCTTTTCCAGAAGGGGGTTGTCTTCTTGTCCTTCTGTCTCAATAGGTCAGGTGCTGGATGATAGGGTGCCACTGAGGGTCTCGCTTCACTGCCTTTCATTCCTTTCTGGCAGACTTGTGTGATCCCCCAGCATCATCTTGGTTACCCAATCCAGAGGTTGCTGTCCCACATGGTTTTTGAGTAGTACCTGACAGCTGCTGGTCACAGGGGTCTCTGCTTGCTGGTACCTGAAGTTTCAGGAGTCTACCCTTGGCTTATTGACTTAATGGCTGTAGAAAGCTTAACATTTGAAGGAGGGCACTTAACAACTTCTCAGGCTATCATGAGCCTATTCTTGGGTTTTGCTTTTTGCATCACCTCCATTACACCCTCCCCCCCAGCCCCATGAAGAGGCCACTGCATGTGGCCCTAGCTGGGTGCGGATAGCTCATCCTGCTGTCCTTGCACTGCTGGCTGGGTTCCCTGCTCCCACACCTGCATGCAGGCATGCTGGGCAGTGTGGTGGTTGCCAGGTGGGTGGTGGAGTATGTGGGGGAGGGGCAGCTGTCCTGGGCACAGGGATCCCTGGGACTCCAGGAATCTTAATCCACCTCTACACCACCCCACCCCACCCTATCCCATCCCTCCATCCTAATCTGCCATGTTGCTGCATATTGTACTAACTGTAGTTTGGAGAGATGTTAGACCAGATGCAGCAAAACATGTAACCTACAAAATGTAAATTGATGAGGAGAAGGGAAATAATAAACGATCCTGGCAATGCCAGCAGAGTTTTAAAGCTACATCAGATCATTACCTCCAGATTTTCCTTTTTTTCTTTAAGAGAAAACAAACCGTGAGATGAATACAAAAAATTAGTGGTAATGCACTAGTAGGTCAAGGATGCTAAAGAGAACCTTGCAGCCCATAGGTAGCATTTTTCTTGCCCTTCTTATATGTAAACTTTACTGACATTGTATTGTTTTGGAGCCTGAAGTCAATAGCAAGTTCTTAGCATCCAAAGCAAGATCAGATCTAAATATGGCAGAATTAATATTTCCAGAACAACATAATTTGATTTCCCAACCTTAGCTTTGAATTGTCCATTGTGTACAAGATATACCCATTCAGGAAGATGCTTAATGTGTGCTTCACTTCAATACCGTGTTTTAATGCACTGCTGAATAGGGATGGTTATCAGCTACGTATTGACTTTAATTTTGGTGGGGTGTTTTTTGTTGGCTGTCTCTTCAGTAGCAGGCTAGTAAGTTTTCCCAGAACTCCGTTGGCTTCTTCAGTGATGTTGGTGCATACAAAAGAGGCTTTGAGTATTGAATATTGTCATTTGGAGAAGTTTTTAATTCCAGTCCCACCCAAGTGTAAGGAAAGAAAAAATCCAATATTTTTCCAAATGAAGAAGTTCCAAAATGGTTGTGATTATTTTTGCTTCAGTCATTTCTGGGGGAAATGCAGATAGAGGAAAAAGCAAAGTAAAAATAAAATGATTTATCAGTGTTTTAGCCTTGGCTTTAATTCATGTCTTGTAAATGAAAGTTAGCAATGAGTCCAGTAACCAGTGTTGCCTAGAATTTTTTGCTTCTGAGATGCCACAAAAATTGACATAACATTGACAATTATTCAGTTGTAAGATGATTAGCCTCGGATATGTGAGCATAGCAAATTGAACGGGAGACTTGCACCTGAATCTCACAGAAGATTTTGATTTTAAATTTCATACTGTGTATAACTTTTTCCTTGGGTGAAAGCAAAGTTTTGGGTCCCACTTCTGCAACTCTAAAATTTACATGCAACATCTTAACTGAAATTAATACAATTTTTCTTTTAAACACTAAATATGAAATTCTGTATTCCTTTACCCATCTAAATGACAATTTTCTAGCTGTGTATCTGGGTGTTTTGGCCCTGCATCTGCACGGTGAATGTCCAAGTGTAACTGTGCTCTCTAGGCTATGCACTGGCCAGGCATGTATGTGCATCCCTTGAGTCCCAGATTTTACAACCCACAAAGTTAAGGGATGTCAAGATCCCAGATTTTCATTTTGGTTCGTGTGGGTATAGAATAAAATCTGGTTGTGCTGTGAGAATTATGTATGGGTTTTTATAATCAGTATTCCAGTTTCACTGATAGTTTCTTGTTGTATTGTCTTTGTACTGAAGGTGTTGTGTATGACAGTCTAATGCTGAAGCACCAGTGCATGTGCGGCAACTATGCCAGTCACCCTGAGCATGCTGGAAGAATACAAAGCATCTGGTCAAGGCTGCAAGAAACTGGGCTGCTAAACAAGTGTGAGGTAATAAATAAAGACGAGATAGCTTCACTAATTTAAATAAACTGCAAATGAATAGATCCTCAGTCCACATTTCTTGTATAACAATAAAACTTTGCCTTTGGAATGACGTCACCCTTGTTAGCATTATTACAGTGCATGCATATTATGAATGCACATTTTTCACTCATGAAATGGGCTTTGAACAATTAAATTAATCTAACTGGAATTACAGCATGAAATCCAGGTATCAGTTGACACCAGCAAGAGACAGATGGATAGAATTACAATCTTCCTAATATATTACTTTTTGTTTCTTCAAACAGCAAGCAATTTTAATTGTGCAACAGTTTAAAAACGTTGCTTTATTTTAATATTTCCACCATCTCTCTAATTGTATGTTTCACTGTGTCATGTTGCAGCATATAAAGCACATAAAGAAAAATATAAAGTTTGTTCTCGTGCTTTTGTCAGCCAAGGGTAAGATGGCTATTGAGTAAAAAAATCAAGATGTGAAGTTCACTTATCCAGACAATATATGGGTTTTATTTATTTCTATTCTTATTTCCTTTTCCAAAATGAGTATTAAACCATAATCCATTAATCAAATGTGGAATTTAAGGTTTTTGTCTAATTTAGATGCTGGAAAACAGCTAAATCAGCTGAAGTTTATGGGAGTTGTGGGTGCTGATTGTTTCTTTAGAACAGGCCCTAGCAAAGATCAGTGCAGACTGTTTACTTAAATAAAGCCAACATACGTAAGTTCTGCAGGATCAAACCTTTTTCTGTGCTCACATGCTGCATTTTTTGCATAACTCTGTGTTATTTTCTAATAGTTTTTGAAAATCCAAATGAACTAACACTATATGTCGATTCTTGAGGAAACACTACTATTCACAACAATTTTCTGGTATGTAGGGACCCAAATACATTATACTATGAGGTAATACCAGCACTGTAAATGGATTTGTTGTATACACTAATCTAACTAGATGGCAGCACCCTAACAGGCTATGTTTTCTTTAGCTTGCATGTTTTAAAAATGTTTTAATAGGTTTTCATTCAGCAAGAACTTTAAGAACACGTGTAACTTCTAGCACATGAGTAGGTCCATTGACAGGAGTGCATGCACAAGAAGTAAGTTTAAGTTCAGTACACATTTAAGTGCTTTGCTAAATCAGGGCTTATTTACCTTGCTGACTCAGAATTGCAATGAGCAAAAATGAACATAACCTAAAAGCCATGTGAAATGGTATTTCAGTGTTTTACATTTTCTCTGATGTAGAAAGTGTATGTGAAACCAGTTGTGTGGAATCTGGGAAAGGCAACACCTACAATGTGGAATGTTCTATAATTCAAGAGTGCAATAATTCCTGGAACCCAGGAAATGCAGACAACTTATCTCATTACAAGAGCATATCCTGAAGATTTGTATTGCTCTTTATATTATTGATAAAACTGAGCTGAAACACTGCATTATGACCTGCCCAATCTTGGGAGAATCTGGAATTGGATCACAACTAAATATAGATGACCCTTAATCAATGTGATAATGATCTGTTCCCAAATTTTGGATCAGAGCCCTTCCAAGTTGTGATTCAGATCTGTATTTGAAAATGTACCAAAGAATGGAGCTGTTAGATTATGTGAAGCTACCATAAGTAATATGTAAAAAATAATTAGATATGTATCAAAAAAAGAAAAAGTGTTTATAAGCAGTATCACAGCAGTTATCATAATAATAAGATTGTCAAAAGTAGAAATATTATTATTATGTATATTATTAAGAGCAGATTCTAGTGGCCTTGTCTTGAATTACTAACACTTTATTTCATGAATAATCTTTCTGACCTGCTATAAATGTAAATAAGGGAAGAATTGGATCCTCAAACATTTTGTTGGTATGAATATATGTAAAGAATAGAAACATTGTGTTTTTATCACTAATACTGGGCCCAAAAACTTTTCACATTTAATCTTTTACATTTCATCATTTACATTTAATTTACATTATCTCTAGTTATTTCCCAAACTAAAATGAAGAATTATATGAGTTTGCAGCAAGAAAACAAAGATGCATGCAACTAATTGGGTCCAACCTTGAGTTTTAAAGAAAAACATTTTGTCCAGGGGTTTGCAAGCTATGTTGTATGTGGCCTGGGGACACAGTGCTTCAGTGGCATTCAGATATAGGCACTCTTCCTTGTACCTTTATGGATGCTGTGTCCCTGTCCTGTCATGGAGGCAAACAGCAGTGGTGGCTGTGTCCTAGTGTCTGCCCTTCTGGCTGCCTTTAACTTGCGGTGAGTCATTTCAGCCCAGCTGGAAAAGGTTGCCTACCCCTGAATTTATGAAATCTTGATAAAGTTTTACAAATGGAAATTCAAATATTGTTTACATGTATGTTGAATTAAATGAAAGAAAATGTTGTCTTTAATTACCAATATGAACAAAATATTAGTGACTGCAGTGTGAAATTAGTCTTTTAGGTAGAATCTGAGGGAATAAAATTTGAGTTGCCTTAACTGGACAATGCAGAGAAGTTTGTCCTGAACCTTTGCTATTTCTGACTGTCCATCCTTCCCTTAGTGAAGCTTCATTAGCACTTACTTAACATTAAGGATGTGCTTATGTCTGTCACTATTTAGTAAAGCATGTGCTTAAATGATTTGCTGCCTCAGGGTTTACATTCATTTAAAACATTTTCATCTCCAGATGTAATGCATATGTATCTATGGTACTGGTTACTGTGCTCCATTATTTGAGAAAATATATTATAATCAGTACCTTAATTATAGAATTGCACAAAATTTACTTTAAAGAACATGAAGAAGGAAGCCAAACTATATGACCTTTACTTCCTTATTTCCTAACTGCTGAGTGCTTTGTTATGCGTACTTACTATTGCTTTACATAAGGATTTTTGCTGGTCATTCTTTTCTGGCAGAGCGAAGATAGAAAACAAATTTAATAATGTGGAACTATTGAGTTAGTCTTGATCAAAATGCCCCTTTAAGGCCTGAAAGGACCTTATTAAGCATGCAAGATTTGAATATGTTCATGCTGCTGCTTTCCACCCTTTCTCTGCATGTGCCAACTCCCGAAAATAAAGCTTTGTACTTGCCTGAGAATGGCCTTGAGTGCATGCCCTGTGCTGCTTTTAGGCTGTTAGGGATGCATCTGTGGGTGAGTACTCAGTGCCTTGTTTCCAGGATTTGGCATGCACCAAGGAGAGTAATTGGGATGACACATTGACTTCAAGCCTTTTAAGAAGTGCTGTAATGTAATATATTCAAAACTACATTTCTCGGAGTAGTCAGAGGGACGGACCTCAACATGATATAGTTTAATTTTTAGATCAGACATTTAAGCTGTTCATAGGTAGGTTTCCAAGATTATTTTGCTTAATGAAGAAAGTGTTTCCTCCCCCTGCCCTCCTTTCCTTGACTTACTTTTTATTCTAAAAGGCCAGATCAATTTTCCATGAGCTAGAAAAGGACAAAGAAAAAACTTCCTATTCAGTCCATAGCCAATGCTGGAAAATTTTAGCGTGAAAACAAGTTTTAGAAGGTTAGACGATATCTCTATCTCTTTGAGATTCATTTAAAAAATCTAGCTTTCTTGTGCATATTGACAGTGCAGTGCTTCACTGTAGGTAATTTCCACACCTGAGTTGATGTTCACCTGAGTTAACTTTTTTAGCTAGAGTTAAGAATGGTCTTCAAGGCTGTGAAATAAGAGCTACATTATTGGGGACGGCTAACAGACAGCAAAATTGCAAAAGAAAGGATAGCTTGATAGTGCAAAATCAAACCATTAAAGAAGGAGAAAGGGTCTTAAACACCTATAGAATGAAGAGTTTAGAAGGAATCAAGATATACAATGAACCATGAAGTCATTTGACTCCCTCACTGCTGCCTACATAGAAAGGCTGCAGCTGCTTCCAGGGAGTTGGTTTTAAACCTTGGGTGGAGCAGGAATCACAGGGGGATGGAACTGCACCACTGAACTCTTCCCTGGATCCCCCCTACCCCACCATCTTCCTTAATATCATACAATTGCAATCCATTTGTTCTGCTGCGTTATTCTAGTACCCTAGATTTTCCATCAGCTTTATCATGCCATAGCTTTTCCATTGAAGTTTATGCCTTTTATCATTACTATTTTTACCAAGGTTTTCATAACTGCTGGGCCAATGAGAATTACAAAGGACATAGGTCATATTTCAGCCTTTGAAAATATAACAAGAGGAGGATAAATCTGTTCCCATCACCCCCTTAATCTTCCCCAAACAAATAAATGCATATACATAAATGTATGTAAAGATATAGAAATGTATACAGTATACTGTCTGCTATCTTGTACTCCATGAGGGCTAGAAACAGGAGGTTTTCATAATTGAAAAGGTATATTGTATAATGACTCAACATTCACTTTATATATAGATCTGATAAATCCTGACATACTGGACCTAAAAATTATGACATTATTCTTAGTTGAACTTAAAATTACTATATTTAAGTTACTTTGGGTAATTTTAGATGTTTTATTTTTTTAACACTACGTATGTTTCCCCCTTTCCACAGAGTCTAGCAAGGAAATTGACTTCAGAGGCAAAAAGGCATGACAACTAGAGTTGAATCCATCACTCCTCTTTATATCATACTCTGCCTATTGTCACAACTTGTGTTATCAATGGTTTTCTTCCATGCATGATAATTAAAAAAACACTTTAATAGTCACAAACCACTTAATGTCAATAACATAAGTGATCTCAGCTGGATAAATTTACTGCTTAATATCACTGGTATCAAATGATATTTCTCATTCAGATCAATTAGCATACAATTACCAGTAAAGTGGTGTTTGAGGTAATGTTGTAGCTGTGATGGTCTAGGAATTACGTGAGAGGCAAGGACTTTTTTTAGATGATATTTTTATTGGACCAACTGCATAGTTGGGACGCTTTTCATTTTAAAGCTTGTCTACATTTATCCCAGCTTTACAGTTGATCCAATAAAAGTTATCACCAAAAAAAATCCTTGCTTCTCACAATCATTGATAAATTAATTTTCTTCATCACACAAATAGGTATAAAGGTATACAACAGAAAAAAATATATAGATTTTTATAATTGTAGGATACACTTGTCAAGTACTGGCTCAATGCCTGGGAATATAAGTACCATCAGAGTCTGAATGCAGCTTTAACACATAATTTATCTTGTAGATTCAATGTACAGGATCCATTAGTTCTTACCCTGTAATATAACATTTAGAGTGTACTTATGAAACTCTTGAAAAACATAAAAGGGTTAGCAAAAGGTTGAGTTACAGGTGCAGTGCCACTGAAGAGGAGGTAGCTATAAGGACTTAAGCTGTCCTGAGTTTTCTGTTTAACAATATAGCCTCTCATCTTTTCAGTTAATCAGTCTATCATTTTTTTGACATGGTATAGTTTTTATGGTTTTACTTCACTTTTTATGTTTTGTATTAAGTAAATATCATGGTTGCATATTTCAGAAACTCACAAAAATACATCAAGTAAGTCCAGGATAAATTCTTGTCCCTCCAAATTCAGGGTGGTGGTGCCAACTGGCATATAAGTAAATACATTTAAAAAACACCTAGTGCCAAATACACACTAAAAAAAAAAAATTTCTGCTTCATTATTTGCCACCACCAGCTAAGTATAGGTATTAAAAAAAAAGCCAAAACCCTGTGGCAAAAGTGCTTGATCATGCTTTACTCAAAGCACTATAAGTTAGAGCACATTCAAAGCAAACAGATATTTGCTGTTTGTTGGGTGTGGTGGGGGGGAGGTTGTAGTGCCTGAGGCCAGCAGGTAGGAGGTGCTCTTGCACACCTCCCAGCATGCCCCACAGACTTCTCAGGCTGCTGGAGACTCCCCAGTGCAGTCAAATGGGCAAGCCATCCCTGCCTGGCTGTCTAGCATGGGGGAGCAGTCCTCCCCTCCCCTGCTGCTCTGTCAGTGACAGGAATCAGAATCAGAGGGAAACAGGGCTAGAAGGGACCTCTGGGCCTGGCTGCGGCTGCCTGGGGGCCAGGACCCAGGCCGGGGAGCCTGTCTGTCAAGTGGTAGTACGGACAGGCTGGGCACTAGCATCACTTGGGAGCCATGAATAGGAGCTTAGTGTGCATGCCCTGCCTGGATCTGACATAGATCAGAAGGAGAGTGGTGCAGGGCGGGATCACTCTGGGCCAGGCTGGAGATGCACGCACATGCACATGCACACACAGAAACATGCATGCACATGCACATACACGTGTATACATGTGCACTGCAGAGAGCCAGGTGGGGTGGCTGTGTGAGGCTGTGCCACTTTTTGCTGTGCCGGCAGCTCTGAAGGGGGCGGTGGTGGAAAAGGAACTCCCCTGGCCTGGCCTAGTCCCCAGCTAGACCCAAGTTGGGAAGTTGGGAGGGGGAAAGTTGGGAAGGGGGAGCACCCAGCAGGCAGGCTCCTTTTTTACCTCTCCCACCCTTCTGCTAGAGTTCCCAGCACTGCAAATAGCAGTGCAGCACTGCAGGTTTTGGCTGGGGGAAGAAAGCCCCTCTGGCCAGAATATGGCGTTAGGGCAGCTGTGGGGACACAAACTCTCTTTCCCTCCCCCCCTTGCCTGGGGACAAATGCCCCAAAGTGACTTATAGCTGGCCGGAGGGATGACACGGGGTTGGGTTGAGTGGCTATCACTGACTCAGGTTGATGACAGCTGAGGAGGTGGGGCCAGTCTGGCACTCCGACAGAGCAGACGAGCTCTGCCTGAAGTGAGCATGCCGCCCTGCAAGGGACCCTTGTTATGCCAGTGAATGCAACCCAGCTTAATGCCCAGTGGGATATGGCACAGATGTTCAAAAAGCACTTCAGTCTAATAGCACATCCATCCAGGGTTAACTTAGAGTGTGATCCACCATTTTTAAAGCACTGAACTATGAACATCTGCTTTATTAAGGCGATGAAGTGTTTTCTGCATGCTTGTAGCATGATAGATATAACATGTGTACCTAGCCACCCAGGCTGCAACCCTGGTTATTGTCAACTTCACTTAATATCACCTGCACAAGGGCATTTGATGCCCAAAAGGTTGTCTAACAGCTCCTTCAACTACAAATTTAGTCCAATAAAAGAGATCACAAAAAATCCTTGCCTCTCATATACTTCCTGGACCATAAGAGCTACAGTAACACTCCAGCTTTAGTATCACAGGCTTTGGTTAGTCTGAGACATATGACTTTATATGAGTTTGATTGCAATAGCATTTTATTAAACCTAACCCTCTTAAATATTTCTTAAATAATTTTGATGCAATCTATGTGACCTACAGTGAAAAGGATTTACAAGCAATTATTTGAGATGACAATCCTAGTGCTACACATGTGGATCTTTGCCACACAAAAATGACGCAAGCCTTCCAAGCTTATTCTGATAATATATTTATACCTTGGCATAGCTTTCTTACTCTCTCTTTTTGCCCAATATTATTAGAAAAATATGTATTTTAGTTGACCTAAGATGATCTACCTTTCCCTCATTCATTCCATGAAAAAGGGTGTGTATGTGCCCGTGTGCACATCAGTGCAGCTCATGAAGCAATTAGTTAGAAACATATACACTTCTTAGGATGAATGACCAAATGTCACCTCACTTGTGAAGAAAAATACGTTATCTGACCCAGAAGAACAATTATATTTTATTGACTTCATGAAGTAACATAATATGCTGATTTTGATTGTGCAATTGTGTGTCAAAAGGATGTGAAAGCACTTCAGTAAATTCTCATGTGAGACTGGGAGAGGCCTGGAGAAATCATAGATTTAAAAAGGGTTTATTAAGTCATTTAGTCCATGGTTCATTCCCTAAAGTGTATTTTCCATTGCTGTATCCAGTCAAGGTTTAAATGATGCAAAAATAGGGCTTCCACCACTTCCATTGGGAAACTACTTCACTACCCAGTGGATCCAACTGTTTTGAAATGTTTCCTGATTATTCAGAAATAATTGCCACTGCTTAGCTCAATATAAATTGTGCCTAGGCAATTCCTTTTCTCCCGCAGTTCATAATCTCTTTAAAAATATGTAATTATTGAATTTGTGTCTTGGAAAAGTGAAAGACTTGGTGCTTTGTGGTCTAAAAGAAATGATATAAAATAAATGCTAGAAATGTATCTCGGGGGGGCGGGGGGAGGGAGGGAGACTGAATAGAAATACTCCAAAAGAAGAGAAACACTGAAGGTGTACTCTGAAAAGTAACTAAAAAAAATGACACAATGAGGCTAGTGGTAGGAGAACTTTGTTAACAATAATATGGATTATGCATGAAGAAAAATAAAATTCACTTCTTGCTGCTACAGCTGAATGGGCTGTGCAGTAACCGGTATACAAGTAGTAAATACTTAGTTATGTCACCACAGTAAGCAGACACAGTTCTAAATACATACAAGGAACATATCTGTTGAGTAAGCAGGTGTCATTTTTACAGGTGTTTTTCTTTCCCTGTTTTGTTTAACATACTATACTTTAATGGAGTTAGAAATAAAAATCCTTGACTTTTAACCACACTGCAGAGGGAAGGGTAAAGACTGGTGAAGTATTTAAAAGAGCCAAACTCCATTTACAATAGGTAAGGAAACAATAAGAGGGGGCAAAATGCATCTGGGTTGCTGGCAGAATGAACCTTTAATGTAAGAGAAAAGAATACAGTAGGAGCTTGCTTGAAATGTATTCTTGCTATGTATTAACAATATGTATTGTTAATGTATTACTTTTATTTCTCCTACCCACCAAGATTAAACGGTGGGTAATAGCACTGACAAAACACACTGATCCTTATTTTAAAACTCATCTGCTGCTTACAGGCGTGACTAAACTGTTGTCTTAAGAGGTGAGAATTTTTAGAGGGCCTGAGTACAATAAAACATATATTTTTGTTTCCTACCTTTTAATGGAGTCTATTAAGAAAAAGGGAACCTTTTTCTGGTACGTGAAACACTGTATCATACTAACTATTAGTTAAGATTTAGCCAAAGCATTTATGATAAACTTAATATGCATTTGTTTCTCATATAGTATTACTTTAATAAACAAATCAGTGTCACATTCCTGCATGACGCAATTTCAGCCCATTATTAATCATGCTAAATGTTATTTCGGACCTTTACTTTTCTCCCCTAAATATTGTCAGTGGAATATTGTAGGCCTCTGCTGTTTTCTTTCAGCGCATTCGAGGTCGAAAAGCCAGTCTGGAGGAAATACAGCTGGTTCACTCTGAACATCATTCACTGCTGTATGGCACCAGCCCTCTGAACAGACAGAAGCTGGACCCCAGGAAACTCCTAGGTCTGTACAGGCCTCTCTATTCTACTGAGAACAGCACATTCCAGCACTGTCATTAGTCATAGCTGGTGTCAGTTTAAAATACTTGGCAAGCAGTGTGACAAAAAATCACTTTTTCCAAATGCATTGCAATGTGGAATGAGAATCTTGCAATAGAAGCCAAATATAGATTAGTAAAATGCACAGGCTGGAAAACAGCAATAGACATTTCCCCACATTTGCTTCTAAATCATCTAAGTGTTAACCCATTAATGTTATCCATTGTTCACCAGAAATCAGAGCAATGGCAATTTGGAATGCAATTGAACTTCTATATCCTGGTGTCATTCAATTAAAAAATATGAGATAAAAATACATTTATCAGAATTGCTCTTCTGTTATTTTCATTTATTTTAAATATTTTAAACATTATTTCAGTCACATTGGGTGTAGATACCACTGAATTTTATGTTTATAGATGTTCACTGTATGGTGTATGGTATGCTTTAAAAATGAGAAATATTCTATTTAAAATGCTTTTATAGATAGATTAGAAACAATCCAGCATCACTGCCACATGAAATGTCACAAAAGTAATGTTGAGATGCATGGTCAATGCTTGACATGCTTTTATAAGATGAGTGCTAGGGCTAGATACTTAACTTGGATAACTGGGGCAGAAAGCTATGTATCTTGACAAACCAATAGCAGTTAATATGAGAAGAAATGCTGTCAGAAATTTTGGGGCTACATAATACTCCTGTGATTAAAATCTTACATTATGTATCCCAAAATATTAGGAGTCACACCATACACTAGCCTTTTATTTCACTTGGCACAAGACACTAAGCTTTGACTATATAACGAAAAAACACCTTTTTTCAGATATAGTAACTACTGTTATCACTGTGCTTAAGTGTGTCTCTGATCTGCAATGCAAGCTGATGTTAATGATTTTTTTCTGAGGTAGAGCACTAGTTCTGGCGTGAGATACCATCAAGATAAAAGGAAATCAGATTGATTGCAGTTTTTTATATCACTTTTTATGTTTTATTAAGTAAGCTCTTTGGGATGTTGAAGGTCAAAGACTACTTACAATTTGATAGAGCTGATTAGGAAATAGAATTTCCTTCTACAGGAAATTCCAATATTTCAATCAACTGAAATATGAAATTGAAAAATTGATTTGAAAAACCTTCATTTTTTTAAATGAAGAGCCTGAAAATTTTGATTTTGGAAGATATTTGTCAAAATGGTGCATTTTGATCATGTTTAACTATTTCATTTGGACTTCATTATTTTGATTTATTTAATCATTTCGACTATTCTACTATTAAGTATACCCTGTAATACTATAGAAATATTGTTATCCCTTTTTAATCTAAGGACTTAACAAAATTTTAGGTGCTGCTCATTGTTTTGGTTACAAAGAAACTTAGTTACAAAGCCAGGTATCTTTTATGAAATCCTGCATATTTACAAAGAAGGCTTAAAGTTAATTTTTTTTGACCATAAGAGGAATTTAAAAGGACGATTTCTTTGCTCATAGTTGCAAGCCTCTTGCAACCAACACGCAGAATTTTTCATCAGCATCATGCTTGCAGTGTTGACTCTAGCTGTGCCCTTAACTTTCTGTCTCGCTCTATGTTGCTGTGATTTCTTTCGCATATATACACACATTTCTGCGTGCACATGCCCCTCCTTTAAAACAATAGACAATGAAGTGTCTTTGGCACAGGTGCTTTGGTTCTGGCTGGTAATTTGTATATGTTTTGCCTGGAAGTTCCTGTTGCTTTAGGATTCTGGCTCTGTAAAGAAGCTTTTTTTTTTTACATTTTCTTGAATGCTCAGCAAGCATTTCAATAAGATTAAATCTAACCCATAGCAGCATAATACTACAATTAATATTTGAATATAACATTAAAATGTAGCAAATCAAAATGATAAAATCAAATGAGAATATTTCCCATTGAAAATTTCACCAAAATCTATAACTTTCCATTTTTTTAAATTCTGTCAAAACGTATTGGCGGGATGTCTTAATTAAAAGGAAAGGAAATGGTGACAAAAATCAATCCCCCTCTGGTTCCCCAACTCATGTGTGCATGCACGCGTGCACTCCCCCCACTCTCCTGTGCTATGAGTGAAGCACAGCATACAGCTGGCAGAATGGAAATCACACGTATTCTATCATATTTTGTTGCATATAAAAAAAATACTCAACCCTTTCTGTGTAGCTTAAAAAAAAACAAAGTAAAAACAAACTAAAATCCAGGAAAGACTGAAAAATGTAATAGTGGAGATGGGATAAAGGTAGAGCCAGAAATGTAGTCCTTGCTAAGAAAGGCATATTTTACAGTTGCACACTGTGAGGCCCTGATTCAGGACAACTTCTGTGTTCAAGAAGGTTGCTTAACTGTTTAAGTCCCATTAAAGTCCTTAGAATGTAAGCACATGGTTATAATTAAGTATATGCTTAAATGTTTTTTCTGAAGAGGTTGACATAGGCATATATTTATTTTTTCCCTAAATCAGCACCTACCAGCTCAGTTATTACAAATGACTGTTTAATAATTATGCAACTTTTTATGCTATACAAAACTTACTCTTTAGATTACTCATATTTCACTGTACTGTGCTAAACAGCATGCCATGTTGCATTACATCTGTATGTGATGCAAGTTAATACAGGGGATGATGTGTCACATTACATTATGGTTTAATATCACAGGATATAACATTTCAAACCTTTTTGAATAAGCACAGAAGTAGCACAAGTTATTTCCAGAGAGGTTCTGCAAATTCTGTTTGATTTTTCGCTCCTCTGTCATAAGAGAATGTAAAAAGCAAGTTTCTAATGATCACAATTTGTAAATGTGAAAACTATGCTGTCAGCACATCTCAGCCACTAATGCTGTATTTTAATGCGGAACAAGAAGGTACCTTCATGTGACGAATACTCAGTGCATTACAGTTGCAGTATAGCTGTAAAGTGATTACTTAACACAATTGTTTTCAATCAGTAAATATCTGAAACTGGGAAAGAATTAGGCCCCTAAACCTCTCTTGTTTTCTGCTAACTTGCATGCAATGCATCTTTCCCCAAAGGCATGTTTTTTGCCACTGCTTCTTTCACTTACCAAACCCTCAATTCTGCATCATGCATCAAACAGACAGACTGCCATATGCATGAGGATCCCCCTAACATATGGGTGTTTGCTGTCTAGACACTTAACTTTGTATCACCATCTTCCCCTTTCTTTGTGGCTTGTCATTTCAGAAAAGAGAACCTTTGTGATTCTCCTACTGTACCACCCCTTTATTTGTGCCTCATTTTTTTTTATCCAACAGTAATAGACCACTCATATCATATTATCCATGCCTTAGGCTACCGGTCATTTTCTTCAGGTGTCTGAATTTTAACCATGGAAGCCCTGTCCTGATACTAGGCTGAGGAATTTATTATACACTTTTTACTCTCCTCCCACCATAATTGGAACACTACAGTCCTTTTCTATTACTGATGCATTTGGTGGAAGAAACATGTCATAGCGAGTCATCAGTTTCTTTCAGGGTATCGTCTATAAGAACCTCTTGAACTGTCTGATTTTGAAAATTTTTGCAGCGGTTTTGGGTCTTTTCATCAAGAGAGCTGGCGATCCTTTCATTGCTTTGATACTAGTTGGGTAATGGTCCCACTTGCTGGAAAAGCCTTTCCATACTGGTTTTTTTCTATGAGAGCTTGATTTCTTTTCCTGTTTTCTTACCACACAATTATCTACTTCTCTGATGGTTGTGCAATAGAGAGTGCATGTTTTGCTAAACTTTGCAATGTGTTGAAAAGTTTTTGTGCTGCTTTTTCTCCTGTGTCACTAGTTCAGTGTTGAATACTATCTGCTGATGGAGTTCTGTCTTGCCTCACCATCTGTCTTTTATGGCTTTTTCTATGCATAACTAGCACAGCCTCATGGACACATCTGAGACTTCATTTCCCCCCTTCATGTCCCATCTGTTTGCCACTGGATTAAAAAAAAAGTTTTCAGTATGTCATCTTTTATCTCATGCTCCAGTGTATTTAGTCATGAACTCTTCCTCCCATTTTAATGGTATCTGATTTTATTTTTAGTTGCATCATTTTCATTTATTTCCCAGGCATTTCTATCTGGAAAATGGCATTTTCAGTAAGCATTGATTTTGCATAGCAAGAGAGCCAGTAACCTCTTTCTGATCCCGTCCCTGTCATGCCTTTAATTCCTCTACTATAACACCTGGATATACAGTGACTTGCGGCACAAAAAGATTCTAGCCATCCGCTGTACCTGCAGGACCCTTGCATAGTCCTCTAGGAGGCTTTCTTTAGGTTCTCATGTCAGTGTGGTTTCCACATTTTGTGACCAGATCAACATAAACTATTCTATTAAATGAAATAGCTGCAAGTTCAGTGTCTTGGGATTGCACTGTAAGGCACTTTCTTCATCTCAGACTTTCTGGTCTGGTTTCTCAGTGCAAAAAGATTGTGATGGCTTGTAATCTTCTTTATACACTTCATTTATACCACTTAGCTATGAGTAACTCTCACACATGCCTCTTCCACAGAGTAGGTTGTTACTCCCAAGCAACTTGATTGATATCCTTTGTAGCATTTCCTCCATATGGTAAAGTTTCAGAACTAGTTTGGTGGTATGATGGGAGAAATCCCTATTCTTTTGCATGACTGCTGTAGGATCAATCACCTTATAAACTCATACACTAAACGCGTCAAACCTGGACATCCTTATCCAGTTTTAATAGATCTTATTAAGGCAAACACTTGGTTTGCTAGTCTTAAAAATGAATATAGGACTGAATAAAAACTGGGTAACAACTCATTTTCCTATTTTTGTACATTGAATAAATTAAAGAATAAATTGGACACATTTTGTATAAAATATGTTTTATAAAGTTTTATTAATTTATTAATGCTATCAGTTCATACAGTACTGATAAAATATACAGATACTTACATTTGTTATAGGCACTTAAAATAATCATGTAGAAATCTGTAAAGCAGATGGTAAACAACTAGTAAAGTAGTAGGAACGAGATAAACCAAGAGAAGAAAACACTTCACACATTCAAGGAGAAAAAGGATGTTTTTTTAAAAGAATCCAGAGTTAGACACCCCTCTACAGATGTGGGACAAAAACAAACAAGCTGCACTTTATTGAAAGAGGCAGCACATTAGTTCAACCCAGCTCTGTTGCATCTGTATAGATCAGGAGCTTCAGCAGGGCTTTTTGGCTTTTTTATCTAAAGCTGATTCAAACAGCTAGTAGATAAAAGCACCAAAAAAGCCACACTGAAGTGCCTGATCTATACAGATGATGTAGAGCTGGGTTCAACTAATGCATTGCCTCTTCTGGGCATGGGCTGGGCTGGGTGCAGGGGTATGCCAAGTTTAAAGTGCTGTTTTTTGCCACAGGTGGGTGGGGTATGTTTGTTAGCAGGAGAATCAACTCATGAATTAATAATGAAGATTTCTTTACACTTGTGGGCTCTTTTGAAAATAAGTGTTTCAAAATTTAAACCCAGGGTCCAAAGACTGACTTGCTACCTTCAGCTAATATGTTTTAATTCTAAAATTATGGTGTTTTTGTTTATTAGTGAGCAAGATTAATAAGTTAGGATTGAATTAATGATGGTTATTCTTTATGCTCATTGTTGTCTTTTCTTTTTAACATATAGGCAACGTGTCTCAAAAGCTCTTTTCATTGTTGCCTTGCGGAGGACTTGGGGTAAGTAGAGGCTGTCTGTGTAATTTGGGTAGTGTAACAAGAATTTATTAATTAATTCTTTCTTTACTCTTGTGTTTACCAGGCAATGTGCATCAGGAGTTAATAAACAGTAGCACAAATTAGAAAAGGCTTGGGTCTTACTGCTTTTGTGAGCTTTTCTCAAGATACAGTGTCCAATGATACATTCTTATTCTTAGAGTGCAATATCACCAGAGAAATTTTTCCCTGAAAATGTGTGTGACTTTTTAATTTCTCTACATATTGTTTTTCCTTTGTATAAATTAACTGGTTTTTATAGGAAAGTAATGTGATAATGAGGGTGGATGTACTTATCTTGCGAGGTCCCTTCCAGCCCTAATGTCTATGAAATCTATGAAACAGAGTTTGGATGTGAAAGACACCTGCTAAAGTTGTTATAGCCCTGAATTCCACAGGAAAAAAAAATTAAGCACACATACATAGCTCTTCAAACAATGGGATTGGCTAGTAACTGCTGAGGCATGATGTGGATTAATGTAATATTATTAAATTAGCATTTTGACCAAAATGTTTAATACCAGATCTTGGAAACCATTTATGCTGATATGCTGACACATATCTGAGTATCAAAATAGTTCTATTAGCCTGTAGGTTGAAATTCCTCCAGGAAATGCTGTTGAAATGTTAAGAGAAGAATTGCTCAAAATTCCTGATGCCTACCCCCTGCCCCAAAAGAGAACATCTTTATTAACACTTGAAAAACATTCTTCCCTTAGTCTTCTCTTATTTACCAGTGAAGGTGAGAAATGGTTTTCCACCACGGCTACCCAACTCTTTGTGTCCCAGATGGAACGATTAACAGTGGCTGTCAGTAATATTGAGGTGTAATCCAGATAGTATTAGCAATTGATATGCTGGCTGTGTTGCAAATTTGTTCTAGCTCTCTTTCACCATTTTTCTGTTCAGGAGCAAAACCACAGTCTCCAGAGTGCAATTGGAGCTACAGGCTAACTTCCAGTGCAATCCTATAGATTTGCTTTTGCTCTACTGAAACCTGCCAACATATTTGATTCACTTTTGTTCCCCACATAGGACAGTTTTCATACCACCCTAATCTTTGTTGCAGGATTTTCTTATTATGTGATAATGCCATGAAGCATGAATCTGACAAAAAGCATATTCAGTTTACAGGACGTTAAAAAATTCAACCATTTTTCTTTTCAGTTGTTATTATTTCTAAATATTTCACCAATGGGAATTAAAGGGCAGAAACTCAGGTAGTACAGATCACTGTGACTCCATTACTTACAATAGATTAACAACAGCTGAGGATTTGGTGCAAAAAAAAACAAGCAAGAAATGAGTAAAGACCACGAAATTGCTGTCCCCTTATGTGGGTACAGAGGAATTGGCATAAAGTACTTAATACCCTTGATTGCATATGAATACGGGAAAGTATTAAAGAGGACTGCGTCCTCATATTCTTTTTGAGGGTACAATTTTGGAAGATGTTTCTTTTAGGAAATAGAACATGAAGATGATTAGTTGTGTCAAAAGAGAAATTGCTGAAGAGAACAATGGGCTTTGAAATGCTTCTGTAAGTAAGAGGAGCATAATGTTGTGCTCTGAATTTACAGCTAATACAATTAAGGAAATGCTCATCATACCTTTGTTTTTCAAAATGTTGAGAGGAATCTGCATTTTGTCAGGCATTTTATGTTTAAGAATCGCACAAACTGAAATACATGTTGCAGCGTCAGATCCTGTTTTCTGTTCCACTAGTTAGTTTGCCTCTTGATGTTTGTTTATTTTCATGCTTGCTTTGGGATTCTCTTGAAAGAATAGGGTTTATGACCTTTTCCAAGGTAAATAGTTGAGCTTCAGAGCCTTCTTTTGTCTGAATTTACTTGTCTGTTAGTTTAAATGAGCTCTGGAACAGGGAACTGCTTCAAGCTGAGTAGAAGGCATTCCTCCATTTACTTTCTATTTTAAGGGTGGGATAAAGAAGAATCATTGTTATTTGATCGCTTTCAGGATAAAAATGGGTATAAAGCAACAAGCAGCCTAAAGCAGTAAGCTCAGGACAATGTTTGCATGGCAGCGCTATGTGTGGGGATGGACACATTTTCTCATTTGCTGGTCAGCGGATCATCTTTGTTTTCTTTGTTTCTTTGTGTGGTAGCGAGATACAGGCCTGTGCTAGAGAAGACAGTGGGAAAGTATATTTTAAAATACTCCCATTCTTTAAGAAGACCTTATGAGAGTTGTCTGCTTCTTTGGGGAGATAATAAATAATCAGAAATGACTTGGAAATGGAAGTATGTAGGGCCAGATAATCAGCTAGTGTAAATTGGCATCACTCCCTTAATACCAATCTAAGAACCAATCCAAAAAAAAGAAGAAAAAAGAACTCTGAGGAAGGTTGGGGTTACTAAAAAGGAGGTACCTAAGTCTATAATCATAATCTTGAAATGTCTTCTCAAATGCAATCTAACCCTGGGGATGTGAAAACTCCATTGATACCTATCTCACACCTCAAGCCCACAAATTAGGTATTGCCCTGCATAAATCCCCGAGAGGTATCACCCATTAGGTGTTCTCACATGCCTAATGCATAATTACATACATACAAAATCCAGATCTACCAAATTAGGCCCCATGCAAAATACATTGGGAGTGACTGCTTTCTGTTCCCCACATCTCTTTGCCCCCCCCCCCCAGCCTTGTGGTTGAAATGTTGACAAAGGATACTGAGATTCAGGTTCAATTCCCTCCTCTGCTAGAGATGATTTATACCTGCATTTCCAGCTCCCAACAGAATGCCCTAACCTTCAGACTAATGTTTGTGGTGCACTTTGCGGGGAATATATTCCACTCCTGGTGCTGGAGCTTGGCCTTTGTGCAAGCAAGAATTCAAGATTATTTGGCCTAGAAAATACAGAAGGGGAACCTCTGTAGACTCTGTAGCCTAGTAGTTAGGGCAGTTACTTTGGGAACCAAAACTCTTGGTTCCAGTACTTGCTCCAGGGACTATTTAGGTATTTTACATTCATCATCAGCAGCAGCAATCCCTAGCAGTCAAGGATGATCATCTTCCATGATTGCCTTGTCTGTGGGTCCAAAGATGGCTGGCAAGGCCAATCTTGGATTGGCAGGTTCTACTGCAACTCAACACACGTTTTTGTGAGGAATGGGTGGCTCAGGATTCTTGATTCAGTCCACGACATGCTCTATCTGCTGCTCCCACTTTTCCATCTCTTGTTGTCATCATGAGGTTTCAAAATACCAAGATCCTTGCAGCAGACTCTTCCTCCATTTGGGGTGGTCCTGGGCTATTGTCTCCCATGAGTTGATGTCGATGCTGCATTTTTTTTAAGTTGGCCTTGAGGATGTCCTTGAAGTGCTTTCTCTGCCATCCTCTGGAGTGTATGCCTTGACTGAACTTGGAGAATACATTTTTTTTCAGGAGTCTGATATCCAGATAATGTGGCTGCCCCAGCAACGTTGATGTTGGATGGTCATCACCTTGATGCTTGTGGTGTTTGCTTGTGAGAGGATGCTAATGTTGATGCATCTGTCTTTCTACTCGATTCCAAGGATCTTCCATGGGCAGTGTTGATGGTACTTCTCCAGAGAGTTGAGAAATGTCTTCTATATGTTAAGGTGTCTTCTGTACCTGGTTTCAGCTCTGTACAGTAAGGTCGGAATCACAAATGCTTGATAAACTATGAGCTTGGTTTCAAATCTGATGTTGCAATCTTTGAACACAGATTTCCTCAGGCATCCAAAGACTGCACTTCCACATTTGAGGTGATGTTGGATTTTTTTTGTTGATGTCAGCATTCTGCAAGAGATGGCTTCTGGCAAATTAGTAGGTTAAGCAGCAATGGCAGCACCACCAGGATGTGGTGGGGACAGCAGATGGCAATGCTCTACCTCCTGAAAAGCCACGTATATCCTCTGATAGTGCTGTGACATGGTGAGTACAGGTTGCCACTATAATAAGCCTGTCCAGTTTCCAGCCATGGGTCTACAAGTCCTCAATGGTGGAGAAGGTGGAAGATGTTAGAATCTCAATGGCTGTGAAGGTAGATGAAGGTTGCAGTGGAACAAGATCTCCAGTTGGCTTGGCCTCTTTGCCACTGGATCAAGGTCCTGTTCTGTCAAGAACCATATAGAAGTTGATGTGCAGCAGCTTTCTATGTTAAAAGAAATAAAAAGAAATTACATTAAAAAGTCATTGGATAAAACATATAAACATTCTTGGAATCCTCTTCCCCCTACTGTCTCTCACTAGCCCAATGAATCTTATATTATTTTATGCATATTGGCAGAGCATTAACAGGAGGAGCAGACAGTGCCCTCCCCTGGACTGTTATATATACAGATAGTTGGACATTTGATTCTAACAACTGTAGCTGTGAGCATGAATTATATTGGGCAGAAGTGAAATTGAACCTAATTCATCTTGGGCAAGTGCTCTAACCACAAAGTCTTTTTTTATATACATAGGAATCACTTCATTCTGCTGTCCCCTAGTTTAACACAGAGGAGTGATTTCTGGTTGGTTTTTTAAATAAGATTCAGGACTCTGGACCCCAAGAGAAGAGAGGTGTTTCTGCAAAGTACTGTAAGAACTAAACTCTGGAGAAGAGCAAGATCCAGGACACACTGCAGTCCTCAGTACTTCTTGTTAGGTAACTTGAGGAGGCTCCCAAATGAGAACACTGCTTGCTTTGAATCCCATTTTGAGGCACCCAACTTTACCCATGCACCACTGGGGAGTCAAGATGCCTTGCCTAATATGGGGTTTTGGTTTCCAGTCCAAATCAGAGATACCTAAAAGTTAGGCATTTCACCAGTGTTGTGCTACCTTAATCCCTTTTAGTATCTAAGGCCATGTGTAGATAAAACGAGGGGTGTGTGCACTACACTTCAAAATGGGCTAAATGCTTTTGCACTGCTTTAATGGTGCTGGTGTTTGCATGCCTTGGCAGCATATTGTGTGTTAATTCCAGTGC